CTCCAAAATTACAATTTTATCACCATCATTATCGTCACGACCATCACCACCACCACCGTTGCTACCACCATTACTATTGTGCCACCGCCGCCACAATTGTCGCCATCACCACCACCATCCTCACCATTGTATTACCCCCACCATCACTACTATTATGTCATTGCCACCACCATCATTATGTTATCGCTACGACCACTATCACTGTCGTTGTCGCTATCATCACCACCATCACCACCATTGTGTCACAACCACCACCACTACTACTGCTATTGCCACACACACACCATTGTCACCACCACCATCGTCACTACCATTGTGTCACCGCCACCACCACCACTATTGTGTTGTCACCCCCATCACTACCGTCGCCGCCATCTCTATCACCACCATTGTGACAGTAATAGGAATAAGATAGTTGCGGAGAGATAGTTAAAGAGAATGACAAAATTAGAATAATAATAATTTTCAGATTTCAACTCTTTATATTTGTCAAACAATTTAATTAAATTCAATACTTAAATTTCAGTTGTTACCAAACAATCTACAAATTAAAAAATTTAGTATTTAATACTTAAAATTCAATATTCAATTTTCAATGTTCAACTTCCGGTATTCACATATAATAAGTGTGAAAAATTATTACATGAGAATACCAATATGAAACATAGTAATTACACTTTTCACATGAGAATTGGGAAAAGTAAATACAATTGTGAACACCAAATTGCAGAGGTAGTTGTCGGTGGAGGAGAGGTTAGTGGTAGTGGGTCAGTCCTCAAGTTGTGTGGTTTGCTTGATTCCCAATCCAGCCTCATAGCCACTGATGTTGAACACCTTCCTACTCTCCAAACTCCATCTGCACCGTCTATTTTCCTTTTCGAAAATTTATTCTAAATTTCACGACACTTCAAAAATCATACGTAATTGTGACCCAAAATAAATAAAATCATGGTTGAATGAACATCACGTCATTCTTGATATGTGCTATTTATTGGTAAGGATATTAATCGTCTCGAGTTTTGAGAATTTAAACACAAGCTTGTCGAGCTTATTTTTTGAAACTTGACTCATTTATAATATAAGTTAAGCCCGACCTTTAATAGCTCAACTATTTTATAAATAAACGAGCCAAGTTTTCTGAGTTTAAATTAAGTTTTTTAGGCTAATTATTATTAACAAACCTATAAATTTGTTCAAGTTCAACTCATTTAAAACATGAGCCGAGTTCAAATCGAATTTTTTCTAAGTCGAATTCGAACTAAACTCAAATAGCTCATCTCGATTAGCACTCTTATTTATTGGAATATGTTGAGTTTAAATGTAGCGTAGGAGTGCAATTCGAACATATTAAACTAGTTGAAAGTAGGGTAGACTCAACAAAAATTGAAATACATAAATATTTTGAAAACACATCGGAAACATAATGAAAACGGAAAAAAAATTTAAGAGTTCAATTATAAAATATTTTGAAATATTTCGAAACATTAGTAGAAATATTTTGAAACATTAAAAAATACCTCGAAATATTAAAATTTTAATTCAGTCATTGATTCGTTTTAATTTTTTAGAAAACAAAAATGTTTTGATGATTTCAATCATTTTGAAATAAAATTTTCATTTGCGGAAAAATCAGGCTAGACAATCTTCCAACTTTCAACCTTTAAACAATATGCGAGGATAAAAATGTAATCATGATGATCAATAGCATAGCTTTGGTGTAAAGCAATTCTTTCTTTTCTTTTTCTTTTTTGGTACAAGGGTGTAGAGCAATCCAACAACAACATCAATAACATGGTTCCAGCCTATGTAGTTGTCGGTGGAGAGGTTAGCCAGTGGGTCAGTTCTCAAGTTGTGCAAAATTCTTTTATTGCCTTCGGAGCTAATTTTAACTTGTATACCATTCGAATTTTAATTTATTTTTTTAAAATTTAAAAATATAAATATATATCAATGTGCATTTGAAATAAACTGTCATTTATTTTACCGTTAAAAAAGTTTGGATGAATTGCACCCCTCAAAATTTAAATATTTTATATTTATGATCTAAAAAAAAATTCACCCATTAATACTCGTTAAATAACTCTCAATTGTATCGTATCACAACATTTTTGTGTTGTATTAGAGTCAATAAAAAAAATATTTTTGTGTCGAGTCAATTAAGTTGTGTCTTATATTTTACGTTTACGACAATTCATATAATGCAATTTAATATTTTTTAAAAATTAAAAAATATCAAATTTTTATTTATAATACTTGTTAAATAATTATTTTTTGTCTACAATTGTGTTATTCTTATTGAACTTTACTTTAATCGGACAATCAAAAATATGTGTCTAACTGTAAACAGAAAATATTTATTTAACGAGTATTGTAGGCAAAAAATTGACATATTATAATTTTTTTAAAAAATTTAAAAATATTTTTTATTGACTCGAACATGACACGAAGATGTTATGATACGATAAAATAAAGAGTTATTTAACAAGCATTAATTGATAGAATTTTTTTTATCATAAATATAAAATATTTAAACTTAGAGGGTATAATTTATAATTGACCCAAACTTTTTTAACGGAAAAATAGACAAAGTTAGTCTCAAGCGCACATTGATACAAATTTATATCTTTCAGCCTGTAAATTAATATTTTTAAATTTTGAGAGTAAAAATTAATATTTGAGTGATCTTTCAAGATGTAAGTGAAGATTAACCCTTACTTTTATTTGTCACAAAAAAATTAGATAGAAATCACCAATTTGGGGAATATGACATTCAAACCGATAATTTATGATACAATATGATAAATTAATAATTTAAAAGACAATATACAAAAGGGACATAGATCATGGAGTGTAAGTGTAACTTGATCTACCATAATGTAGTATTTTTTAAGGTGTCAATTTTACCCACGATTCGAACCGACAGAAGCTCGACTTGACACAATTTGAAAATGACCAGATTAATTAACATGTAAAATAAGCGGGTCAAATTAAAGTTAAATACAAATAACATAATTAACGTGTAATGTAGAAAAAAAAAAGATATTTAATGAGTACTATAAACAAAAAATAATATTTTTATACATTTTTTAAAATTTTTAAATAATATTATATGAGTTGTTATAAAATTAAATAAATTTTTATTAACACAAATACGACACGACACGTACCGAAAATAATATGAAATAAAAATAATACGATACGACACAATTAACATCCCTGTTCCTTCTTGCATCAGTTGGTTTTAGATTAGATTTAAGGGTTAATCTCAATTTGTACCTTGAAAAATTATTCAAATATCAATTTACATCCTCAAATTTTAAAAATATCAATTTATACCATAAAAGACATAAATTCGTTTTAATTTACACTTGGAACTTCTTGTCATCCATTTTGCCATTAAAAAATTTTGAACTAATTATAAATTGCACCCTCAAAGTTTAAATATATCATATTTATAATCTAAAAAAAATTACATCTATTAATGCTTATTAAATAACTCTCAATTGTGCATGTCGTGTCTAACTTTAAACAAAAAATAGTTATTTTAAAAAAAAATTAAATGGTATTATATGAATTGCCGTAAATGTGAATATACGACACAATGCAATTGACTCAACAAAAAAATATTTTGTATTAAAATTAATTTTTTATTAACTCAAACACAACACAAAATAATATAACATGACACAAAATGATACTATACAATAAAATTGAGAAGTATTTGACGAGTATTAATTGATGAAATTATTTTTGAATCATAAATGTAATATTTAAATTTGAAGGTACAATTTTTTAACAGGAAAATGAACGGTAGTTAACCTTCGGTGCACATTAATATAAATTTATGTCTTTTAAAGTATAAATTGATATTTTTAAATTTAAGGATATAAATTAAAATCTGAATCTAATTTGAGATTAGCCCTAAATTTAAATATATTCTTTACGAATTACAAACGTAGAGTTGTCGGTGGCGAAGAGGTTAGCCAGTGGGTCAGCCATCAAGTTCAGTAGTGACGTTGATTCAAATCCAGCCTGTTTGCCATTAAATGTCGAACATCTTCCTCCTCACCAAATTCCATCTCCACCGTTAAATTTTATTTTCTATTTCTTTTACTCTCCTCTGAAAGAGATACTTGATCTAACGCTCCTCGCTATCACTTGTTCCGTTTGGTCTGTCTCATCAAAGTCTCTCTCTCCTTGCCCTTGCATTGCACCCAAAGCAAAATTCCAAGCAAATAATAGAAGATCTAGAGAAGGGTCTCCACTTCAGTAAGTTAGTCCTTCATTTTCCTTTTCTCTCTCTCTCTATCTCTAAAATCTGTGTTTCTCTCTCTTTAAATTACCAGATCTCCTCCAATTCTCTTTGCAGCTGTGTATCTTTTNTATCTCTAAAATCTGTGTTTCTCTCTCTTTAAATTACCAGATCTCCTCCAATTCTCTTTGCAGCTGTGTATCTTTTTCTGGGTGTCTCTCATTTTTCTCAACAAACCCAAAAACCAAACTCAATCCAGCTCCAAAACTTATTATTTTTCTTATTTTTACGTGTTTTGTAGAGGAAAAATGGAAACAAATAAGAGATTATTGGTGCTGGCAATGGTTATGGTGATATTTGTGAGTGTGAATGGAGATGGGGATGCATCAACGAAGACATTGGTGAAGACTGTGAAGGGAAAGAAGGTTTGTGACAAGGGTTGGGAGTGTAAAGGGTATTCACAGTACTGTTGCAACCAGACCATTTCAGATTTCTTCCAGACTTACCAATTTGAGAATCTTTTTTCCAAGAGGAATTCTCCTGTAGCTCAAGCCGTTGGGTTTTGGGATTATCGTTCTTTTATTGTTGCTTCTTCTACGTACCAACCTAATGGATTTGGGACTACTGGTGGCAAGCTCATGCAGATGAAGGAGGTTGCGGCTTTCCTTGGCCATGTTGGCAGCAAAACCTCATGTAAGTTTGATCCTTGATTGTTACTTTCTGTTCGGTTCCCTAGAAAATGCTAGGAAACAATTTCAAAGAAAAGATGGAAAATTGGGATTTTGAAATATTTTTTCAGTTGACTGTTTGGGACACTTCTATGATTATTTTTCTTCTGTGTTGATTTAGCTGGATTTTTAGATTGTGGTAAAATTTGGGGCTTTATTAGTTCTGTTTGGTTAATGGGAAAGTGGATGATTTGTTAATGAAGAAATAGGGACATGAAGGGATTTGATTGGCTTTCAAATGTTTGAGTTTTCTTAGAAATTAGAAGTTTATTACTTGGTTAGGGGTCATGGTATTAGGTGTGTTTTAACACCAGGGATAATATTAGATTCCTGATAATGGTACTTTCTTCTTCTGCTGTTTCCTTTGTACTCAATAGAATGTTTTAGGCGCATATTGCTTGATTATGTTTGGTATGTATTTGAGGGGTTTCTGTTGGCATTCGGTTTAAATGGATTGGTATACAAAGTGAACTTGACAGATTTTGTTTCCTGTGGGCATACAGTAAATGTCTTCTTGATTCATTTGAGGGCTTCATAATCATTTATAATGGATTTAACAATCTTTCCTTTAGCAAACTTCAAACTCCTGTGTAGTGGATTTAACAAATTTTCCTTCCAGGGGGCCGATGTTGTTTTGGGTTGACTGTAACTTTAGTTGTCTGAATTATCTAATGACCATTGCTGCAAACCTGCATTTGAGCTGGTTTTATTAAAATCTTGATTGTGTTAGTTTCAAATGGATTTGAGTACTAATTATCTATATTAAGACCAATTTGGCAATTTCAAAGCATGCATAGTTTAATGCAAATTTGTTCNTCATTGTCACGTGGATCACCATCTAATAAGAACATAATAAGTTAGCAAGTGAATCTTACACATTCTAGTAACAATGCGTCAATGTTATTTGGTAACAATTCCATGTAGAAAAAGTGAGATTTATTTTATTTATGATATATTTTTATTGANTTTGGTAACAATTCCATGTAGAAAAAGTGAGATTTATTTTATTTATGATATATTTTTATTGAATGATGATATTATGTGTCGGTGGGCGTGGTGTTACTGTTGTAACAGATTTAGTTTTGTAAATGATTTGGTGATTAATTATCAAATTCGTTTATTAATTGAATAACATATTTTTTCAATGTCATTATGGCATATTATGGATCCGTTATGTTCCGTTTTGATTTTGCTTTCAACAAGTAATACAACAAAAAGGAAAAAAAGGCATTTTTTTTATGTATTAAAAGCATTCTTGTTGATTCCGCTTTCTTGGTGAAAATGAAATCAATAATTTCGCTTTGAAAACTGTAATAGATTGGTAAATAAGTTAAAAAGTGCAGTAGATTGGTTTTTTTGTTTGAAAATTATAGTATTTGGTAAAAGATTCGACAACTCAATCAATACACTCCTCAATGACAAAGAGTCTCACTAATTCACACATACCTCTATATTATTTTCTCTTTGTTTACTTTAATTTTAAATTATATAATTAAAAAAATAATATTTAAAATAGCAATGCTCAAATTTTTATATTATGGATTGACGTCAAGCACGGATTATTTCTAAGTACAAACATATATTTTTCTGTAAATAACAAAATTCACTAATGATGTTTTTTTTTATGAAATTACACATCTCTCATAAATTTTGACTTTTGATTGTATAGCTAAATATGAAGTTGGTGTAGTAATAATATATTTTTTTGGGTGATAAACACAACCGTTTAGTTGAGCCACTTATACAATCAACTTTTGATAATTAATTTGTTATAGACAGATACTTATGAAAAATTGCAAGAATCCAAAACATTTGGGAGTTATGTGGTCAAGAAGAAGAGCAAGAAATATTAGGGCTTTTTTTATATTTTTCCTATTCGATGCGAGATTTTCACATGTGGTGTACTAACCGTATGATACATGATATTAAAAATACATTGACTCTATATCACCTGCCGGTCTAATAAGAAAAAGTAATGTTCGATCCCATAATATGAATTTTACACGTTTATCATCTAGATGTAAATGTGTCAAATTACTTCTCCCTCGGTCCATTTTGGGTATCAGCATGACAAACTCCCACTTAACCAATGAAGTAGTAAACTAAGAAAGAAATTAAAGAGAAAATGTATTGAAGTAGATCTCACTACTTAAGTGAGTTGCATATGTACCAGAGAAGTGTTTGATGATCAAACCATTAATCTCACTTCTCTTTGCTAGCCAAGACCTTGACGAAGTCATAGACTTAGGGCATGTTTGGTTTGGGTAATATGCATTGGGATTGAATTAAATTAGTTCAATAAGTATTTGATGTTATGCTTGGATTAGGTTTCTGGTCTTATGAAATGTTACTATCGACCCGATGCTACAAATCAATTCATAAGATACATATTATGACGATACATATTTTTTTTACTATAAAGTGTGTTGATTACTTTCTCGAGGTAAATGAAATATCTACAGTGATTGGTATTAATAATGAGAATGACAATAGTGCGTCCTGGACTGGGTTTTGGATGGAATTAAATGGAAGGATGATTTTGTAGCTTTCTACTTGGGACTAAGCAATATCCCTCATCCCACATGGCAACGTTTTATCCAAATATGTGGACATGGGATAGGATAAACATGGTACAATGATTGTTACCGTTACCGCCTCTGTGAATTGGATTAGTTACAGCTGTAGAATCCCATTCGCAGTGTATATCCGAACCAAACAAGCCCTTAAGAAAGCATCAATCTCAGCTCCGCTACTGTTGGAAACAAATCAGAGTAAATTACACTTTGACCTTCTAAATTATGGACTCAATTTTACTTTGTTATTTGAACTATTGAATTTTTTACATTACCTCCTCAATTATTTTGATTATTTCATATTGTCCCAATCGTAGCGGCCGTCATCTGTTTGGACTGAACTGCTAACGTGTTGAGACAAAAATTCAGGGGCAAAATAAATATTTTTCCTTTAAATATGTAATGGACATTAATAATTTAGGCAATGTGATATTAGTCATATAATGGGGATTGCAATATAAAAAATATGATAGTTGAGTGGACAAAGTAAAAGAAGAATCTTTTTAATGGGGTCAAAGTGTAATTTTCCCCAAAAAGGAAAAACGAAGCCTGAGGAAATTTTTTCTTGCCAATGGTTGGGGAAGAACTACTAGATAAGCACGGGCCTTTGCCTTCATATCTTAGGCTTGTGTGGCGGTGGTGTTGGCTTGGGAAAGTAGACAGAGATAAAGACGTATAAAGTATAAATTATATTTTGACCCCTTCAATTATGTTTTTTTTACATTGCTCCCTTAAGTATCATATTTTTTATATTATACCCTCAACTATGTGACTTGTTCTACATCACCTCAATTATTAATGTATGTTACATATTTAATAGAAAATTATTTTATTTTGCCCCCTCCAACTATGTGATTTTTTTTTTTTTTTGCACTTTATCTCAACACTTTGACAATTTTCGCTCAAAAAGATAACAGACGTTTTGTATTGGGATAATGTGAAATAATTGAGATAGTTGGAGAGAGAGAGAGAGAGAGAGAGGAGGAGGTGCTTGTGTCTAATTGTGTGGGAGCAGTTGTGGTTATTGCATTTTAGGATTTGGGACTTGGTGTTGGACCAAAGCAGCTTTTTGGTTCCAAAAATTTATTTTTTGTCAGTTTTGAGCATAGATTAAAGTGGGATTCAATCATCATTTTGAATAAATTTTTGTGGTTTCGTGTTTTACTCAACCAGAAAATTAATGTATTATATTCACCTCCTCAAATCAAGTTGAAAGATGAATGAAAAAATAGACTCCATAGCATAGTTATCAGAATCGGACCGGACATCGAACTGACAGAGTGACCGGGTCAATGGTTTAGTAGTTCAACCATTGGATCAACTGGTTGGACCGGTCGAATAATAAAAAAATAAAAAATTATAAAATATAATAATCTATCTAAAAAATATATAAAATATGTACCTAATACATATAATTTACCATAAATTAATTAATTATAAAAAAATACTTGTGTTAAAAATAAAAACTACTATTAAGAAAATTTTGTTCTTAACATCAGTTGACAAGAATACTAAAAACAAATACTTCTTAACAGTAGTAACAATTTTCTGATAAAAAAAACAAATAGTAACAATTTTAGTCAAAAAAAAATTGATACAGGAGAGAGAGAGAAAGAGAGAGAAGGCCTCCAGTCCACTCAGTTGAAGCTCAACGGAGGAGCGAAGAAACTTAAAGGACCGCTAATCGAAGCTGTGACTTGTGAAGCTTGAGCAAAGAGAGATTGAGTGTAGAAGGAGTTGCTCGATCAGACCAAATTCTTCACCCTATTCGTCACTAAGAGTGGAGAAGAATATATCTTGTGCTAGTTTGGTTTGGTCTGAATCTATTTGTGTGGCTGAGTGGAGAAGACAATGGAGATTGGCTTGAATGAGGGTAAAATTAGAGATTTTGGGATTTTTATGAAAAAAATAGTAGAACCATTTGGTTTGACAAAATCGTCCGGCTCACGGTTATTGTCAATCCAGTTCACGGTTATTGTCAAAAACTAGCTGCTTTAGCGGTTTTATTTCAGTTTAATCGCTTAAGCAATTCAATTTAAGAACCAGATTAACTGAGCCAATCGGTTCATGGGCCAATCGGTAGGTCCGGTCCGGTCCAATTCTAATAACACTGCTCCAGAGCAACTCACTTAAAATGTAAAAATAGAGATTAGTACATATGAAATTTAATATCAATCTCACATTAGTTTAACAAAGAATCTTTAAAGAGTATATATGGTTCTTGTTTGCACTTAACGTTTGGGCCCAAGCGACATTCCTCTTTTGTGGATGAGAGATGACTCAAATGGGCTTGAATTTGACCATACACACGCGTGTCCCAGCATTACAAGAAAAAAGGATTTTTTTTGGCGGAAAAATAGTCATAAAAAATTTATTTGCCGTTACAAATATTTTTTTATAGCGGCATTG